AGTAAACTTAAAATTAAAATTAAAGTTAATTAAATAACTAATAACTAAACTAACTAATATAGTAGTAGTGTAGTGTGTGTGTGTGTGTGTGTGTGTGTGTGTGTGTGTGTGTGTGTGTGTGTGTGTGTGTGTGTGTGTGTGTGTGTGTGTGTGTGTGTGTGTGTGTGTGTGTGTAAGAGGAAACATTTTTGGTAATAATTCAAAACTTACCTCGGGTTTGGTGTCATCAGGATCATCAATCTTAGCCCTATCATCCCAATCTTCAGGTTTTTTAGCTTCAGGATCCTTGATTTTCTTAGGAGGCAGGAAGTTCCAATCATTCTCCAGTTCACCACTCTCAACCTTCTCGTTGTCAATTTTTACTTCATAAGTATTGTCTGGACGTACAATCAGTGTATAAACGTGGGTGTAAACATCATCCTGAAGAAGAAAGATTAATAATTTAAATATCTGTAAAAATTAAGCTGTCCACTGTATTCCTCACGTACTAAAATACCTAAATAAATGAGCTCAAAATGCTCAAATTTATTTAAAAAAAAAAAGGCTTATGTATCAAAATATTTTAAACCAATTAGGGGTGCATCATTTATTATACGAGTATCAGGGTCAATAGTAGCATTATGAACCAAATAAACAAATTAAATTTTAAAATAGTACATTTTTTTCACGTTACCAGTAGTATACAAATTTATGCTAGCACAGAAAATGAATTTATTAATTTTGAAAAAGCTATCAGTATCAACCGATAGCTGGATGCAATTCAGTTATCAGTACTGTCACTAGAGTTTAAACTTTCAATCTAGCCTGTTATAAAATAACTTAGTTTATGTATAAAACACTAACTCCATTATAACTTTTATAAAAATATATATATATTTTGTTTTTACAAGCAGTAAGGAATAATGTTTTAAATTCATTTGAACAATCAATATTAAGTTATTTTTTTGTTGTAGTTTTAAACACTCCCAATATTTAAATTCAAAGACTTAAAAGTCGTTCAAGTTGAATATGTAAAAAACAACCCTTTAGAAAACAAAAACCCCTTGAATCTTATAAATTACAAGCATGCCAAATTTCTAACCTAATTTGATTATCTTAAAACAGAACCAAAAAAGTGAGGGGGGGGGAGCTACATCAATGTAGCATAGTTGTTAATAATAGTGTATGTAGGGCAACTAGAAAAAATGGGGAGGACACAAGCCCCTTCTGCTTCATATATTAAGTATCTATGAAAGAAAGCACTGACAAGTTACTTGAATGCCAAAATCAAATGCAAGTTGTTGTAGCTTTTATTTTAAATGGAAAAATTGAAAGTTCCCTAAATTCACATATAGTCTGTTACTCGGTGTCTATCATTTCTATTTTAAGATACTTGTTCTACAAGAAATACCTCCAAGCCCAATTGTTTAAGAACTACAATGCAAAGTCTTAACTAATAAAAACTTTTTCCTAAAATGTAAAGTTTTGAACCACCTTAAAAACAGACAGTAACATCGTTCTTGGGATAATAGATAATTTTTGCTTCTTTTAGACAATTCCCTTCACTATGAATGACTGTTAGTCCATTGGATTGACAATATTCCTGTGAAACTATCCATAGTAATATTTACTGTAATTCTGAATTTACTATATGTATCTGTAAAATCTGGCAAGCTTTTAGTAAACATTACAAAAACTGTTGTATAAAAAACGGATTTTTAATAATGTATTTCTATTAAACATTTGTCTGTGTATTTATGAATCTTTTACCGAGTCACAGGTGATTCATGCTGAGAACTGAACTAATTTAATCACTTCTAGAACCTCAGAAACAAAAATCAAAAGGTTTTGTTTTTCAGTAAAACTACAACATTATGCATAAACAATAAATCTTTAACTTGCATCAGTGTTGCAATTTGTACTTGAGAACATACATTTTTAGCACTAGTTTTTAATAGCAAGTTAGTTAATCACAAGACCATTAAGGTTTCTTTTAAGTACACATTTTATATAATGTCCAAAAACGACTATATTTAACTTGTTTTTCCAACTGAGCTTTAAACAAAATCCATTACTTAAATGGTGCAGAAAAAAAAATTTGCTGATGGGCACTAAACAAAATAAGGAATCTTGTAGAGAAAAGGTCGTTTATAAACAGCAGTGTCAGAGATTAGACATTTTTTAAACACAACATTACAGGTTAGGTTAGAGATTAGTGTCAGAGATTAGACATTTTTTAAACACAACATTACACGTAACATGGGTTTGATTTTTTTTATCCTGTCCATATATACAGTGTGTGTTTCTAGTTAAAGACAAGGGTTTTAAAATATGTATTTTATACTTTCCCACAATTCCTTCACTTACTTTACAACGAATGTCCTTGTTAATAAGCAAGTTTTTTCCTTTATAGTTGAATATGACGTGAACTTTCTTGGTGCCGGGTCCACAGATGTCTGGACCTACAATCAAAACAGCTCATTAAATGTAACTTATAAACAACAAGATTACAGTCTTTAGTAAATATATTAAAAACAATAACAAATATTTTTTATACAAACTTGCATCTTCATTATTTTAATTAACAAGTGATAAAACACAAGATTTTACTAAATGTTCTTCTGTATCACAGATAACAAATAAAGCTTCAACCATAACAACTGTTTTCACAAATTAAACGATCTCATTATCCTGACTTACACACACACACCTACATCAAACGACACTCTCCTTATCCTGACTTACACACACACCTACATCAAACGACACTCTCCTTATCCTGACTTACACATATGTAGTTTTTCCTGAACTTATCATGGATCTGACAACTTTTATTGCTGATATGACAGATTCATTGAAGAAATAAAACTCCATCAACTGACCTACACAACAGTCAATAATAATCTAAACTAAACCTCTAATGCTATATGAACTTTACCAATAAACAAGAACCACCCCCTTTTTTTAAATATACATCATAAACTAGCACTGTTCACAGACATATCTTAAACCTTCACTGAAGCATTATAACAAAAGCATCATACCAAACATAATGAGGTATGGGGTCTCTCCATGCAAGTCCTTCTGGTCTAAACTACAATCAAAAAGTTTGATATAACCTCCACCACAGTCGATATTTTGCTCGTGTTTCACAGAAAACTGCAGTACCAAGGGCTTGTCCTCATTGCTGAATGCATTAAACTTGGAAGAGATGCCATAAAACCTTGCATCCTGGGATGTCTGAATTCCTAATGATAATAATAAACTATGTTCATTTATTTTCATATTGTTATATTAGAAAAACACTATTTTATAATTTTTTTCTTTTGTGAAATAAAAATAACAGAATATAGAATGATAAAGATCATTTGGTATATATCCAATTCAACAGTATTAAAATGTTCAAGTTAATTAGCTGAATTACAACACAGATAATCAAATAATTTATCCAGCAATGATAAGTAAAAATTACATGCGGCTAATAATAAAAACTGTTACACCACAAATAAGTGTCTGATTAGGTGTTTTTATTTTGTACATATTTTGAAATGATTAAAAATCAATATTTTTTACTGTAATCTAGAAACATCTTTATCATACCTAAGTAACAGAATATTTTATTAAGTTTAGTTTTCTTTAAAAGCTTCTCACCTTTATTCAGTTCTCCATCACCATAGAATTTTCCAGCTGACAGAACAAATTTTCCCCACTCTTTACCTTTGTGTTCAGACTGAATCCATCTTTCTTCCCATTGTTCTGTAAGTTGAAACATGAAACTTCAGACTTTCTAAAAGAAAATATTCTAATCCTCTATTTGGTGGATCTTTTCTAAAAACCGTTTAAGTAGTACAAAATTTTTAAATTTCATATTTCAATATCTTGTTATGCAATGCAAAAACTGAAAAACAGATATACACACTCAAAATCAGGGGTTTTATACAAGTAACTAGAATACAATCTTAACTTTTCACGAAACAGAACGTCTTCATGCTATTAATAGTAATACAATTAAATAAATACATATAGAAAAATAAAAGCCAAAAAGCCAGATGAATTTTTTCCCCACTTCCAATCAGGTTTGCCAGTGGAATTATAGTTCCCAAATTTTGGGTTCATAATTACGAACTTAGAGTAAATTGCAAAACACTACATTAGTACCGTGGGCGTCTAACATATACTGATAATGATATAGGGCAGAAGGGACATTTATCCCCCTCCTTCACTTTCCCCAAATTCCAGATAGTGGACATACATTATTAGTATTATTAACAGTTATGTCAGTTTGATAAGATTATCGAACCCACGATTTATTTTTCCCTCACATTTTCCAACAAAGTTAGGTACTCCTAAATAGTACATTCGTATAATCAGTTGCCCAGTGTCTAGGTGTAAATTTTTCACAGGTGTAGGATAGCACAGCGCTAGGAAGTACAATAAAAACCTTTATTTTATTTTAGCCCATTTTTGAATTTAAATGTAAAATGTTCTTAGATTAGAATAATATTAAAAACTTAAAAGTATATATCTACCTAAAGCGAACAGATACGAATCCAGAATTTAAAAAATGAGTCAAATTAAATCAAAATCTTCAGTCAGACTTAACTAGCCTATTCTTGATCGAGCTTACCTCCATCATTAAACTGTTCTTTGAAATATGGATTTGTTTTACAACATACCAGTGGGAGAATCAGTAGAGCTGAAAGTAAATACATCATTTTACTTAAATATACACAAAATTTGAATTAGAGGAAATTGTTAATGATTAATTCGGCTTCCCAAACACCTCACGTCCAAACCCAACCAGGAAATCTACAGCTATGAAATACGAAGCACTGCTCGTAGTTAAGTTAGTTGGCTTCGTCCACGTGAGAGCTTACAGCTGGAATGCCCTCATTGGTTGTAAACGTGGTCCAATGAAAGGAATCCACGCATCAATGTCATCGCAATATGAATAAGTTATCTGACGAATTCCTAAAACTAAAAGCATTTGTATTGCTTACTTAGGATTTGCCTTCAAAATCGTAACATTTGATGCATATTATTTAATAGGTGTAAAAATTATATTATCATGACTGCACTAAAATGTATTTAAACCTAGTAGTAGTTATTTTTGACATTATATAAGCATATTAATAGCAAAAAATTAACTTTGATAGTATGAAGTATAATATGTTTGATTAGAACATGTACAAAATTCACTTATCAGTCCGATGCTTTACATTGTGTGGGAGAAAAACAAACAAAAAAAGTGAATAACATTTCAGAGTACTATGAAAATTTTTAACTACGCCGACCATAATTTAATACACGCATACATATATATAGCCTAAAATGTTTGTTTATTTTAGCACAAAGCTACAAATTAGGCTGTCTGCGTTCTGTTCACCACGGGAAATCGAACCCCGAGTTTTAGCGTTCTAAGTTCGTAAAATTACCACTAAACTACAGAGGGACAGTCTACATGGTAAACAATTAAGTCAAGAAAAAAGATGTTTAATGCTATAATAAGGATTTTGGCAAACTTATATGACATTTAGAATTTAAAAAAATTAAATCTGTTATTCTGCAAAACATATTACTACTTACTCTAATTAATGGCTCAGCGATAAGTCTGAAGGTTTATTGGGCTGTTGTTGTGTGATATAATATTTATAAAAGACTAAATGTAAATTGTAAAATATAACATCAGATTCATTCAGTTTTCATTAACTCGATTTTAACATGTCAGAGGCAGGATAACAAGTAAACAGTAAATCATACAGTTTCAAAATGTCATTTTATTAAAATACTGAAATTTTAAATTCTTCTCCACAGGTGAATTAGTGCTTTGGACTTTTAGTCGGTAGGTTGCGAGTTCGAGACTGACATTTCGTTTAGAGGGTTATGTGTCACCATTCTCATTCGTTTGTGTCGTTGTTTGTTTGTTTTCGGAATTTTGCGCAAAGCTACTTGAGGGCTGCCTGCGCTAGCTGTCCCTAATTTAGAAACGATAGACTAGAAGGAAGGCAACACCGCCAATTCTTGGGCTATTCTTTTATCCACGAAAAATGGGATTGACCGTCACATTATAATGCCCCACGCCTCTCATATTGGTAATACTGTTGCGTCAGCGAGGTCACGTGACTAGTGTCACGCCACGTTTCTAGAACTATCTTGTTCCTTCGTGAATGCCCTAGCATTTACTAGATATATGTTTGTCTGGTATATATATATATAAGACGCTCACAACGTAACAAGAACAATGAGTGTAGGTAGTGAGTAATTGATCTGCAGTGAGAAAGTATTGTTGAAGTTAACGTTCGTTATAGCGTTTGTTTTAGCGCAAATGTTGAAATCAAGTGTATCGTGAAGTTATATTCAGAAAGAATAAACCAGTTTTATTAAGTAAGGACTTGTGTCGCTAAAGTCTCGTCGGAACGAAGTTACGGAAAGTTAATTAACAAACGGAGACGTAACAATACAAATATAATATTTGGTCTAAATTATCAATAAACTACGAATTCCATACTTAATTCTTAAATATTAATATATTTGGATATTCTTTTTCTTTGTCATATCATATTAAAGTTTCACTTGTAAAAAAATAATAGTAATTTGAATTTTCTTCAAAACTAAAAGCAACTTTCATACATCAAAATTAAATTAAATTTGAAAACTGTGCGTTCTGTATTGCCAAAACTAACAAGTTTTGACTTATGTTAGAGTAACAGATGATGAAACATGACTGCAGTATATTAAGTTTAACATTAGACTGGTAATTATTCCATTTGTTACGACAGCGGAAGTCACGCAACGCTGGGAGCATGCGCGATGGAGTTTCTCGAAGGATCATGAATTTTTCCTGGCAACTCTAGTTTGTTCCAGGTGCCCTCTTTTAAGTATAAAAGCCCCGTAAATAATGGCAGCGAAAAAGATAGAATTGCATAGATAGATAATTGAGTCAAGCGAACAGTAGGCTCCGTAAGTAAAGTGTGTGAATCGCTGTGAATTATAGCGTGTGTTTATAAAAGTAGTTAAGT